TCGATTTTTGACGGTCCCGAGGCCCGGCGAGGGCCCCCAGAGACCGAAAATCATCCAAAACCTCCTCCTCCTCCTCCTCCTCCTCCTCCTCCTCCTCCTCCTCCTCCTCCTCCTCCTCCTCCTCCTCGGTTCGGTTCGGTCGCAGGCAAGAGAGTCGATGCCTACACACAGGGATAAGGCGAGATAGAGCAGGATGGAGACAGAGGCGACGAGGAACCCAAGAGACACCCCAGAGACCCCAGAACCAGAGCAGGAGCCCGCCAACGCCCCCCCCGCAAGAGGGAAGAAACAAGGAGGAAGAAAGAAAGAGCAGGAAGAGACGGAGGCCGCAGGGGGGGAGCGTAGGCAGGAACCCGACGACCCCATGACAAAGGGCCCCCAAAGGCCCAGCCGCGGAAACCCGGCCCCCAGGACCACCAGCAATTCGAGCCGCGCCCAGCAGCTCGGAATCTCTATACATCAGCACGTCAGACAGATGCAACTACGCAGCTGCATTCCCGGCTCAACTCACATCCCATTCGATGAGCTTCCAGTCACCACAAATCCCGTTCGAGGTGCACGCTGCTCGGCCATCGCAGCCCATCGTCGCGAAGTCAACCGTGACCGGACCAAGGCACTCTGGGCGGCCTTGAGCCGGTCCTGCCTGCTGTGCAGCAACTTCCGGCGGCGCGAGGCTGTGGATCAGCCGGCTCTCTGACTCTGCCGAATCCCTCAGGGAAGCAGCCCTGGCATCGGCGAGAGTGGCGATGGCTTCGGACTCCAGCAGCTTGTATCGCACCAGCGCCTCCTCGAGACTGTTGGCTGAGACCGCGCCCAGGTTGTCAGGAAGTGCAGAGGCGGCAAACTCAGACAGCAATATGACCTTTTCCTCGGCCCGCTGGATGAGCCTGGCAGCGTTGCTCTCTTCCTCGTGCGCAACTTTCTGGACGGAGACTGGATCACTCTCTCCGTCTCCTGAGGCTGCGCGTGCACGTCCAGGCCGAGGGGTGTGACCAGCGCTGCTCGGGCGCCCCATCTTTTCCTCCGTCAGAGCTCCTCCGACGACCGGCACGCCAGGTTGCAGCAAATCGAGGCCCGCAGAAGGCTTGTCCGTGCCATCCTCCGGCGCCAAGACATCCGCGGAGGACACGGAGAGTCCGACGTAGGGGCTGCACGGGTTGCCATCGCCAGCGCCACCGAGCCCGCGGCCAGCTTGCGCACCATCGCCTCCATCAGGTCCGCAACCTGCGTGAACGTGACGACGAACGCGGGGAAAGCCGTTCTCCAGGGCGGCAGCCAAGGCCGCGCCTAGCCGTGTCTGCTGGCACCCCCGATGCAGGAGGGCGTCAAAACTGTGCAACATTGCTGAAGCCACGCGAGCCTGGGCGCGGGCAGCCTGCGCCCTCCTCTCGGCCGCTGACCGCCTCGGCCTCGCGGAGCGCCAGGGGGGGATCCTGCCGCAGAACTCGCCCATGCGGCTGGCGGCGCCCGCCGCGCCCGCCGCATCCATGGCGCAGGCAGGAGGGGGGTGGGAAGGACGGGTCCGAGGGCGGGGCGGCGCGGGGGGCGCCCTGGCGTTGACTCGCAGGCCCAGGGGGCTCGACAAAGTTTACGCTTGAGCCAAAATGGCTACTGTCCTCCTCCTCCTCCTCCTCCTCCCCCTCCTCCTCCTCCTCCTCCTCCTCCTCCTGCTCCTCCTCCCCCCCCTCCTCCTCCTCCTCCTCCTCCTCCTCCTCCTCCTCCTCCTCCTCCTCCTCCTCCTCCTCCTCCTCCTCCTCCTCCTCCTCCTCCCCCTGTTGTTCGATCGTCACCCCACGCGGTGCCCCCCCCCGCCCCCCCCTCCGTGTGACGCCCACCAGCGCGACCGGAGAGGGCGGCGAGAGGTCGGAGGTCGGAGGTCCGCCCGCAATAGGGGCCAGAGAGAGAGGAGGACGGACTGCACCGCCGCAGGCTGCTGGCCACGGGGGAGCGAAGAACGACATTGAGTCAGGAGGGGAAACACACACACACACAGACACAACGAGTCGTCGATCCCCCAGAAAACATGGGAAAACGTGGGAAGTGGGGGTGGGGGACTGCACCGCCACAGGCTGCTGGCCACGGGCTTGGCATCGCTCGGACGTGTGCACTTTTTGTTTCGTCGGCGAGGGCCCTCGAGGAGCATCCTCGATCCTTTGGCGGAGAAAAAAAAATCATCCCAGTGCGACCCTACCTAGGAGTTGGAGCCCCTAGGAAAGCAGCATTAGTAGTAACAGTAAAGCTAAGCTACAGCTAAGCTACAGCTAAGCTAAAGCTAAGCTAAGGCTGAGCTAAAGCTAAGCTAAAGCTAAGCTGAAGCTAAGCTGAAGCTAAGCTAAAGCTAAACTGAAGCTAAGCTAAAGCTAATCTAAAGCAAAGCTGAAGCTGAGCTGAAGCTAAGCTCAAGCTAAGCTAAAGCTAAGTTGAAGCTAAGCTAAAGCTAAGCTAAAGCTCAGCTAAAGCTAAGCTAAAGCTGGGCTAAAGCTAAGCTAAAGCTAAGCTAAAGCTAAAGCTAAAGCTAAAGCTCCCAGGGGACTGGGGGGACCGCTCCCAGGGGACTGGGGGAACCGCCCGGGGCGAGTTCCACTGCCCAGCCCCTTTAAGCTAAGAGAGTAAGAACCCTTCTAGGCAGAGCCTAGGTAGGGGAGAAAAAAAAGAAAAAAAAAAAAAAAAAAAAAAAAAAAAAAAAAAAAAAAAAAAAAAAAAAAAAAAAAAAAACGCACGAAGCCGAAAAAAACGCCACCGGCTGCTGGCCACAGGCTTGGCATCGCTCGGACGTGTGCACTTTTTTTTCGTCGGCGAGGGCCCTCGAGGAGCATCCTCGATCCTTTGGGGGGGGAAAAAAAAAACACGCACGGAGCCGAAAAAAAACGCCACCGGCTGCTGGCCACAGGCTTGGCATCGCTCGGACGTGTGCATTTTTCCGTCGGCGAGGACCATCGAGGAGCATCCTCGATCCTTTGGCAAAAAAAAAAAAAAAAAACGCACGGAGCCGAAAAAAACACAGGGAATGGACGTCCGAGCGATGGCGAGCATAGGGGAACGAAGAATGACATTGAATCAGGAGGGGAAAAACACACACACACACAGACACAACGAATCGTCGATCCCCCAGAAAACATAGGAAAACATGGGAAGTGGGGGGGGGACTAGAACCCAGAAAATGTGGAGGGGAAAACACACACACACACACACACACCCGCAGACACAACGAATCGTCGATCCCCCAGAAAACATAAGGAAACATGGGAAGTGGGGGGGGACTAGGACCCAGAAAATGTGGAGGGGAAAACACACACACACACACACACACACACACAGACACAATGAATCGTCGATCCCCCAGAAAATCTGGGAAAACATGGGAAGTGATGGGGGGGGACTGGAGCCCAGAAAATGGGGGGAAATGTGGGGATGCCTGTTATGTGTGTCTATTTGTTTGTGTGTCCCAGGGCCCCTTCAATGAACATAAAAACTCGGAGGTCCGCGCGGATCCGCATGATAGGGATGGGCAACCTTCCCAGGGGTACCCTTGCATCCTTGCCTCCTCGGTCCATCCCTCGCCACTTTCGTTGGCCGCGTCCCGCTCGAAAGGCTTCGAAGTGGATGTCCGAGGCCCCTGCATCCTTTTCGCGCATCCTTATGATACGGGCCGGCTGCACTAGGGGATCGAAGAACGACATGAGCACAAGAATTCGGAGGCCCGTGCGGATTTCTCGGATCCGAGACATCCGCGCAGACCTCCGAGTTTTTATGCTCATGTCATTACTCGTTCCCCTACAGTCGGGGCCCTGAGGAAGGAACCCTTTTCGTTGGGGAGGGGCTCCGCGTTCCTTAAGTGTTCCGCAGCTTGCCTCAGGTTTTCCTTATGCTTTCGATCGGAATTCGAAGTTCAACTTATGGAAAAAAAAGGGGCCTCGTTCCTTATTTTGGGCTCCTTAGGTCAAGGCCCCGACTGTATGGCCGCGGCGGTTGGCGGAGGAGAAAAAGTCGGGCCGTCCCCCCCCCCGAGCGGCTTCGCAAGGGCGGAGCCGACCGTGCCCGGATTAGCCGCGCGCAGGTCGCGCACGCAGGTCGCGCGCGTGAGGTCGCGCGTGGGGGGCGCCCGCGCCTTCCGCGCGGGGGGCGCGCTCCGGGCAGGACCGCCCCTTGCGGGCATCGAGGGGCTGACTTGTCCTCCTCCTCCTCCCCTCCTCCTCCTCCTCCTCCTCCTCCTCCTCCGTTTCCTCCTCCTCCTCCTCCTCCTCCTCCTCCTCGGGGATTCGGGGGATTCGGGGGGGGATTCCGTGGGGCTTCGGGTGGGGATTCGGGGGGTTCGGGGGATTCGGGCGGGGATGCGGGGGCTCGGCAGCTCCGTGTGCGGCGAGTCGGTGGGGGTTCGGGGTGGCGCGTCGGTGGGGCTTCGGGGGCGGTGACCACAGCGTGTGGTGGGTCGGTGGCATTCGGGGTCGCCGCACGGTTTTGGGGCACCTGTCTCGGGCGACCGGAGCCTCTGCAGGGTCCGCCCAAAACCGTGCGGTGACGGGCCGTGCGGTGAGGTCTTTGCGGATTCCGAGGTCGCCGCCGGGTCTGTCGCCACACGGTGCTGAGACCCCCAAGAAAGACGGGCGGCGGAAGGCGGGCGGCAGCAAGACTCGGGGGCGGAAAAGAGGGGGGTGATGACTAGGGGGGGGGGGGGATATCATGGCGTGGGCCATGATATTTCCCCAGATCTCATGGCGCCTCTTCTTATTTCATTACGTCCCTGGCCCCCCCGCTGGGCCGCGCACATGCCTCCGGTCATGATTTGCACCCCCCCCTCTTGGACACCCCCCTCTTGGCCGCTCCCGAAAGACGAGAGCGGCTCCCTTGGCGAAAGCAAGGGGTGCGCCCCAAGAGGTGCTGTGTTAAGGGCTTCTGGAGCGGGCCGCACGCCGTGCCGCACCGGCGGCCTGTGCAAGCCACCGCGTGAGATCGCCGTGTCCTCGAGCGTAAGACCAAGTGTCCTTCATTACCTCGCTCAG